ACTTGGGAGAAGAGACCATCCCCCGCCTCTCTAGCCCCTCCTTTCAGGGAGCTGTAGAGAGCAATAAGGTCTCCCCTCATCCTCCTCTTCTCCAGCCTAAACCAGAAGTTCAATAAAACAAAACACAGTACATGTAGGAATAGAGGAAAAGACCTTGGTGCCTGTGGGAGGGCGGTCTCACTCATCTGGACCTTCCCGACTGACTCTCAAGGCAGCCATGCCCAGGCAGTGGTGTGGGAGCTGCCAGGGGGACGTGGGCAGAGAGCAGGGACAGCACCATGGCACCACGAGGGACTGGGTCCTGCAGGGATGGTGGCCTTGGTGAGCACTGGGCAGCGGACTATGCTGAGGTGTGTGAGCCCAGGGCGCAGGGTGCTGGGAAACGTGAGGAGGAGAACACATTTTCTGTAGCTTACCTGAACAAACAGAAATGGGGAAAAAGTTAATGCATGAATACTTGCGGGGACAAGTCTCTGTTCACTTCATGAGACCTTGGCTTTCTCACCCATTTTGCTCCTTTGGCAGCCAAAATTAAACCCAACCCTACAAAGCAGTTAGAGGTGAACAGAAACCCTCAACACCTGTGGAGCTGACTGCAGCGGTGCTGGGGTCAGAAGAGTGACAGGGAGGGAGAGCACAGGGAACAGCCAGGAGGGAATGGGCAGGAAGAGCCCCAAGCAGCAGAGACGGCATTAAAACTGCCCCTGCACAAGGTCAGGTAGCCACGGGTGAAAATAAGTCTCCAAACTGCATTGAGATGTTCCTCCTCTAAAGATACCAAGTGAAAATTGTGATTTGCACAGCTGGGAGACACCACACAAAGGGGAAGAGGGGAAAAGGAGTGACCACAGGGTGGTTTTCTTTTATTTCGTGGTTCATTTCTCAAAAGCTGCTGCTTCCCCTTTTGTTTTTTTTTCCTCCTTAAAGGAGGAAAACTTTAGATTTTTAATTGCCTTCTGCAATTTCTTTTAAAGTCGTTTACTGCATAAAACAAACATGAGGGAGAACTCTTAATGGCAAAACATCAGACGTCTGTGTCCTAAAATGTGGAGTTTTTCCCCACATTGCACTTCATTAACACGTCCCTTGCACGCGTGCCCAGCTGCTGCAGCGAGCTCAAGGGCAGGGACAGAAAGTCTGGAGCTAATGGGGAAAGGGGACAGTACCAACCTGTAATTTATTTTCATTATTTCTGGAATGTTATAATTGAACAACACTGACGTTGTGTGCTCATGGATGGTTGGGCGCTGGCACTGCAGAGACTCTTCCAGTAGCAGACACTGCAAAGACCCCCATGTCCTGCAAACACACACGCAGAGCCGCACAGTGCCATCTGGCCCCAGCACTCAGGCTATGGGTCCTCAGTCCCCTGTTTCCCAAACTCTTTCTTGATCACTATCATAACTTATAGCTGCATACAAAAATAAGATACCTTCAGTTACCTCAAAAGCAGACACACAAAAAAATCAGGCTTTTAGGTCTGCAGGCTCCCAAGGAGAAGACAGAATCTGCTCTGTTTGCCCCAGACAATTCAGCTGAGATTCTCCAGGGCCTCACAGCCAGGCTAATGAGAAACTCCCCAGCAACTCCCATGTAAAACACTTTCATAGGTCTTTAAAATGCCTTAAATTCTCTATATATTTAGTAAGACTTTTTACTTCTTTAAAATGTCCCTTGTTGCTCCTCAAGATAACACTCCCGTGATGTATTACACCAGCAATGCAGCACTGCAAAGCAAGGGTCCAGCCAGACAAATATTGAAGGTGATTTTCCTCTTGACTTCCAAGCAGCAGCAAACCCTTCTGCAAAGCAGAGCCGGGCACTTGCTTGGCCCCTGGCAGCGCTGCCCAGCCCAGCCCACCCTCTCCCAGGCTTTGGGAGCGAGCAGGACAGGCCGGGCAAAGGGAAAAGCAAGGGGAAGGAGTCCTCTGCTGCGCTCTTCCTCTGGGACAGAAAACGTCTCTGCCACTTACGCAGCAAACCACTGCTGCCCTGCTGTTGAACAGCACACTGAGCCCTCAGATTAAGAGAGGAAAGGAAAAGCTTTTTTTCTTCCTTTTACATTACGGAAAAAAATGTTTACAAGACCTGAGGAGGAAGGAAATTCGCTATATGGCCATTGTTAAACAGGGCTGCTGGACACCCAGATTATTTACCCTGGCACGAGGGCACCCTCTGCCTCCTTATACATTTCCCTGCTTCTCTAGGTTAACACGTACAACCTTTAAATTGTGATCATTAAAAAAAAAACAAAAAACCCGTAAAACTATTTCTAATTGTATTTAAAGTACTTGAAGAACTTCCTCAGTGTAACCACGGCAAGGGCTGGATTCCTGCAAAGCGTTTCACCTTTAGGTTTACCAGGAGCGTGCAGGTAACCCAGAGCAGACAGCGACTGCGCAAACACCCTCCCACAGGAAAAGGGACAGTGCCCTGGGCTAAGCCATCACCAAACAGACCCATCCAAGTGCAGGATTTCGGTTCCCAACATCTCCACTGCCAAATCTCCATGAGCTGCACTAAGCCGGTCCCGCTGGCAGCCCCGCACCCAGCGCCGCTGGCCAGGGATGCACAAACCAGGCACCTTCAGTAACACAGAAGCCCACCCCGAGGCGCAGAGCCTGGGCCGCAGTGTTTGGCACCTCCTGCCCTGCACTCGGGGCCAGGCGGCTGTCACAGCTGTGGGGACAACCCCCACGACTGCAGATCAACTCGTGCTCACTAAAAATAGAGACATTTTCAATATAGCTTCTACAGGACTGACGAACAAAAGATACAACAGCAAAAGCACCTTCTCTCTCCACAACTGCACCTAGATAAATATTTTGCTACTATTAAAAAAAAAAGCCTTAAAGACTCCATTCTACCTGCTCTTGCTGCCCCTGCGTGCTGCAGAGCGCCAACAGGAATTTTCAGAAGTCGCTTTGTATGTGTTTGCACACACAGAGATGTACAAACACACACAGGAGAAGGGAGAGAAATATGTTAATTTGAAACATCTGGCAAATGTTTCAGAGTTAACAAGACCCGGGTTTGGCCTTTTGGTTTTTTTTTTTTCTGTTGGGGGAGTCAAGGAAGGGGAGGCAATTCTGTCATTTTAGGCCAGGGAGGGAAGGGGCATGAAACGCAAAGTTGAAGCATGTTTTTTCACCCTTTATTGAAGTTCAACATCACACTATTGGAGCTAATGCAAACAGGAAGATCATAAAAGAACATAATGAAAGTCTCGCACACTGGGACCACGGGGCTGGTTTCAGTTACTGAATATAGCTTTGGAGGCACACCACACAAGAGCCAGCGACTCCATGCAGCCACACCATCCATCCCAGGGCTTTGTAAGCTTTTTCTTTGTAGTTCCTCAGTTCTACTCCAGCCTGCAACCTCCATCCCATGCTCCGTGCCCTTTCCTGATAGGACACTGTATTGCATCCATGTACGCGTGCAAGATCGAAATCTGTAGCTACTATTAAGAGGAAAATCCCCCAATTAGCACACATTTTCCTTGCCATAAATCACGCATACAATACATTTTATCCCACATCCGACGTCTTGAATGAGAGCTCTAATTATGAGAGTAAATGAAGAAAAATGGAGGACACTGACTGACTTGGGAAAAGCCTTTCACAGGCTGTCTTCTACTTACGGCAGTCACCAATAGCATCCAGAAATCCCAAATTAACTTCCACTCTGCACAGAAGTTATTTTTGTTGTTGCTGCTGTTTTGAACCTCAGCCTGTGTTAAACTGAATGCAATTCAAAATGTAGATGGAGAACACCAGTAACTCCATTCCTCCGCCGTCTGAGACGAAGGTCAAGCGAGAGAGCCAGCAAGCGCTCTTTTCATGCGCCGTTAGCTCCTGGCACAAAGGGGCCTTCGATGGCGCGGCTGGGGGGTTGCAGCAGCAGCAGCAGCAATATTTGCTATCAAAGACCAGCAAAAACACCAACCCTTCAAAACAGCTGTAGCACCTGGAGAAGATGCACCCAGCGCAAGCAAGAGTGCATTGGTACAAAGTGAAATGCCGGAGAGGGCACACAAAGGCAGTTTAAGCCTTCAGGACCAGCTGGGTGCTGACTTCAGTCAGAAAAGTCTCCTGCGAGCCAGTTTCGCTGTGACTCCTATAAAACCAGGGCTAACCAGGAATGCAGCACCACTGTTAATTTTCCTGTTATTGCTCAGTTTCTGAGCTGTTTGCACATCACTGCTGAGCTTCTAAGGGAACACCATCATGCAGCCCAGTACCAAGACAGTGCAGAGTTATTGGCTTCAAAATCAAAAATATTCTGAGAATTTCATAAATGTTAAAGACATAATAGAGTAAAATAGCTTTCCACAGGACGCAAACAGAGACTGAAATGTGGCTAGTTACTTTACACGCAAACTAACCTAACATTTACACTCACGTTTGTCTTATCTGTGCGCATTACACAACTACAGATAAATTTGCTTTATCCTGTTCAGTTTCTTGAGGCTCTTTTTATTCAAATTATCAATGTAACACAGATGAGAAACATTTAAGTGTTACTACTATCAAGCAGCCCAAAAGCTGGTTCAAATGTTACATCTTTCCAGCATGGCGACACACCACTTTTATTCTCCAGCCCTGACAGGACTTTCCAATTTCCTCCAAGAGGAGAAATACACACATTCCAGTTGAGGCTGAAGTTTAAACTTCCTATTAAAGCAGCTTTTATGTAATTAGATTGGAATGAATGTGCAACAGTGCCCATTGCAGGCAACTTCAAAGTGGTTATACTGGAGAAATCACAACCCATTTCAGTGTGCCCACAAGAAGAAAGAATGGCTCTCCGGAGGATAAGAGTATATTAGTCTCTGTATGTAATAGATTTTATTGACCATATGGAACTGATATAAAAATTGTGTTGCAGTGGGTAGTCTTGGATTTGAGACAGGAATGTGACATACAAAATACAGTTCCCGTAAAAAGCCTGGCAGCTTTCTGGCAGTTTTTGCAATCAGAAGAACCTAAAATATTTACCTGATTGAGTCACTGATGAGTCCCAGGTCAGAGCAAAATCTGAAGATTCACCCTCTTCAACTGAAAAAGAACAAAAATAAGTTGCGATTGCTAAAACAAACCAACTGGAAAGCAAAGCCAACAGAAAACTAGGTCCGCTATGACATTAAGTATTAAAACAGACTTCTGCACTGGTGAAAAAGAACTTACTGCTTTCTATAAAGTTATTCATAAGGTGGAAATTTAGTAAAGAGATTTTCCCT